CTCTTCAGGCAAAGTTGTGAAGTTTCCATACAAATATGTTTACACAATTTAAGGAGCTTGCTTTATTATAAAATTAAAAGCATTTTCTTTTGAAAACTGTCCCTCATCTTATGACATGCTAGTAATAAGAGATCGTAATTTTTTGGTAATGACTCTACTTAGTCAAATACAAATCAGAAGTTGGCAACCATATGATGGCCCTCATAAGTTTTGAAAAATATTTAAAAACAAAAAGCCAATTTTACCACTCTGTGAGACCCAAAAGAAAGAAGAGATTCCATTTCTGGTACCATGGTTTTTAGCCTCAAACCAAAGTAACAAATTACGCAAGGAAGATAGTTTATCCTTGAGAATGTGGCAGCAATGTTACTCACTGCTATTCGAGAGGCAAAGCAACATCAATTGTTCGCAGAAACACATCAACAAGGTTCATTTTACCTACATAAACCCACCCTTTAAGTCAGAAATGTTTCTTACCGTAGGAATCAAAGTTGGGGGCCATAATAAAACAAGATGCAAGGGAAATGCAGACATTTCTTTAACCAATCTAGAAAGCAGGACTGGGCAAGCAGCAGGGGCCCTGCACGTACCTGTGAGAACCACAGTATGTTCTCCACCACATGCTACTTGGATCACTTCCTCAGAAATGTCAGATACTAGCTGGGGTGTTTTGTGATTGACCAGTTGCTCCCTGGAAAGACCTAACTTCCCAGACTCAGGTTCTCCAAATGTGTACAGCTTGCCATCGGCTGGTGAAGGAGAAGAACAATGATCAATGATGCGATCCAGGTAAACAAAGTACTGGGATTTGTAGTACATGTTCCCATGTTCAGTTAGAAATTTAAATTATCATGTGATAAATTTAACCTTTCATGAGATAAGATACTGTATCTGTATGATAAGGAGGGAAGAAAAAAAACCCCAACATCTTCTTTCCTCTTGGGTTTTCATTCCTAATAAATGACTAGAAAATCATTTAGTGGTTTTGCCAAACAGAGATTGAAAGTATTCTACTTACTTCACAAGTTACTGAACACATAGTTTAGCTCATCTACTTTATGTTTCCTTCACTTAAATTTACTACATTTCATAAAATTTGGATTCCCCACAGTGACCTACCTGGCTATGAAATCCATTTTCTCTCAGATTAGGACCTTAAACACCCTACCGGGTTTTGATCCAGGTATCTGTAGGCTGGAGTTTCTAGAGACCCCACAGTAGTGCCCACAATTCTAATGTATTTCTTTACACTCCCTATTGGACTTGAAATGCTCAGACCCAATCATTAGCACCTTAGATAAAAAGGCAATAGAAATCGGTGACACTATCTGAACATTCCATATGTCTTATTTCTCATTGTTAAAAGAGGTGCCTGGTGGCTCAGGAGGCTAGGCGTGGGGCTAACTGCAGGGGTGGTGGTTCCAAGCCACCACATGTGTTTGAAAACTAAATGTTTCAGCAAATTTAGAACACAACGCTTGCCAATATTGCTTTAACACCAATGCGTGAGTTTATAAAAGGAGCCTGTGAAGAACCCCGCTGCTACCCCAAAGGTGGGCAGTTCGAATTCACCCTACAGCTGTAGAGGGCCAAGGGCTGGAGATCTGTTTCTGAAAAGATTCCAAGTCTAGAAAGCCTTATGGGTAGTTCTGCTCTGCCAGAGGGCGGGTCTGTGAGTTGAAATTGACTTCCAGGCCCTCAACAACTAGTGGGTTAAAAATTCTGTGAGCGCTTTCCGGAGAACTATACTCTTTCAGTGGCGTTGCTGCTGCTGTTGGTTACTGTCAAGTTGGTTTCAACATATGGCAACCTCACGAGAACAGAGGGGAACTATGCCCCACATAACTTTCAAGGCCGTGACCCTTCAGAAGCAGATGGCTGCGTCCATCTTCAGAAGTGCCTCTGGGCAGACTCAAACTGCCCCCCTGTCAGCTAGCAGTGGGGTGCTTCTGATACACGCCAACATTTTGCTGTTCTTATGTATTGTAGAGTTGATTTCAATTCATCGTAACCTATATGACAGAGTAGAATGTTGCCAAGCTTGTAACTTTACAGAAGCATATCACCCAGTCTTTCTCCCCTGGCCCCAGAGCCACTGGGTAGGTTCAAACTGCAGCCCTTTTATTTAACAGGTGTGTGCTTCACCATTGTGCCACCAGAGTTCACTGAAGAACCCCACAAAATGCATCACCAGGATGTTTTCTAATTATTTCCCTATGATTTGTTGAGTCTTCAAAATACGTACATGTAATGAATTTAATGATTTTTGGGGGGAGGGAGGAAATTAATATATTTTGTCATTAATTGCAATGCTCCCAATAGAGTATCGCTTATCCCACCTCTTCCTTATATTTCCTGTTTCTCTTTCTCCTCTTTGCCTAATCCCTCTAAATGCTGCCCTTGGGTAAATGCTGTTCTTTTGCTTTCAAATGGTTGATTATTCTAAGGTGTGTATACTTCTCAAGTATTACTAAGCCCTTTATGGATTTGGCTACTGCTTGGTTGAAAATTGAGGCATAAAGGTGGGTTTCATTCCCCAAACTGAAGGTGACTAAGGGGTAGTCTCGGGGGCTCCACCAGCCTGTATTAGTGCTAACCAGTAAGCACAGCATCTTCTATGATTTTGCGGTTTCTTCCACATTTTTCTCTCATTCTATCTAGGACCCTCTTATGTGCTCTCTTTCAGAGCAGTTGGTAGTGGAAACCAGGCACCATCTAGTTCTTCAAGTCTTAGGGTTGTGGACATTTTTATGAATTTCTGTATTACACAAAAGGTCTAGTACTGCTATGCTTAAGAACATAATATTAATCTCTGAACTTTTTGTGAGATCAATTGGAAACCATAAAAGTTAGATACTGCCCAGCAAGTGCGCTGAATATGGAATATGCATGTCTATGCATGGAGAAAGCAGGCAGTATAAGTCCTAAACCAATAGTTAAATTAAAAAAAGACCGGTTATATGTAACGTAGCTTTCCTGCCTACTCTCATATCATTATAGAATTATTTTCCACACATTTCCGTTTTCAAAATGATCAAATAATTTTTTAAATGACATTTATGATGCCCAATAACCAAAGGTCTTTTGATTGGGTCTCAATCAATCCTAGAAGTCAAGATGCACTGGAGAGTCTGCCTGTTTCCACTGGTAGCTTCAAACCTACTCCTCTACTTCCAGAAGGTGGGCATTACTCCTGTTCCGCACCAGCCCTCAAAGCAGTGCTAACCTAAATCAACGGAAAAAGCCACTTCTGTCGAGACCATGCTGACTCCCAGCGGCCTTACAGGAGCTGGTAGTGGCAACTTTCTCGCAGGAGATGGCTAGTGGGTTTAACCTACCAGCTTTGGTCAGGAGCCCAACCCCTAGCCCACAGTGCCACCAGAGGTCCAGACACACCTTATAGAACACTGAAAAAGGTACCATGTTGTGCTTGCTTCGGCAGCACATATACTACAAAAGTTACTATGTTAGTGTTATAAATTACAAACTCTCATAAGCAAGAGAAATGCTGTGACCTGAGAAAAACCAACATTGTTTCATTACATGGACCTCACATGGTGTTATTTCTATTGAACTGTATAAGGTACATCACTCAGTTACCAATGTACTCCTTAGAAATGGGTGATACTGTAGTGAGTGTGTAGTTTGTCTTACTTGTTATAAAAGCTGAGTGGTAATAGCCACAAGAGATCCAGGAGATGGGTTTCCCAATGCTCACTTGACGGGGTACACAGATACTAGGTACTTCGCCTAGACCGATTTGTCCTTCAGAATTGTCACCCCACATAAAAAGTTCTCCATCCTCTATAAAGAAAACATAAAGAGGGAGGGGGTAGAGTTCAAAAACTAGTAAGGCTCTGTTGTTAGTTGCTGCTGAGTTTCTTGCCCCACCCCTCCAAAATAATATCCATTCCCCATGAGCAGTTGCTGATCGGACTGTTGAGGGTTTGCACTGGCCAATTTTTGTAAGATAGCATCCTCCAAGGACAGACAGGCCACCACCATAGGGTACATTGGCCAGAACTCAATCTCAGATCTCTCCTACATGTAAGGTGAGACTATGCAATAAAGTTATTATCTATTTCTATGAGGCCATTTCCCCCCTTGAGAAAAACTTTGGGTGCTGAAAGAAAAACACTAACCAGACTTTATTGGTGCTACCTACTTAAGCATTCAGTTTCTATGATGACATGTGTCTGTGATGACCAAGAACATAGAGCATCATCTGATTGTAAATCATGTTCTTCAGGTCCATGTTTCTATCTGAATAGTAAAAACAGAATGTTCTTTCCTAGAACTACCCTTACTAGAGTCTAAAAGTATTGAAAGAGAACATGCTTCCCTTCTTTAGCGCCACCTACCTGCAACTAAATGGAAAGAAAGTATGTGCAGCCATTCTCAGGACACTCATTGCTGCAGAGCAGAGCTACTCCTATGGGTTTTTGCGACTGTAACTCTTTATGGGAGTAGAAAGCCTCAACTTTCACCAACAGTGTAGCTGGTGGCTTTGAATGGCTGATTTTGTGGTTAGTAGCCCAATTCATAACCTACCCACCAGAGCTCCTTTTCAGGTCAAAAGTACCCACCATAATCGTTTTCCTTGAGAACCCTACAGAAGTGCTGTTTTAGAGGAAATGAAAATAAAGAATACATATTGTGGTCATTTGTCTTATGATTTACACTTGAAAAGACATCAAATCTAGCTTCATAATAAGTGAGGATCATAGCTTATGTCCTGCTAAGGGTTTTGCTATCAGAAAAGTTGAACTAGGAACATGATTTTAGAAAGGAACAATCAATCCTTACTTCTAGCTTGGAATTCATTTTAAACCTCTTTCATCTCTGAAGCAATTTAATAGTAAGGCAAATGAAATGAAAATTGACAAAGAATCAAGAACAGGATGCCAAATTTGCTAACTACCCAAAAACCCAACTCACTGCCATTATGTTAATTTCCACTCACAGTGATCCTATAGGACAGAGTGGAACTGCCCCTTTAGGTTTCTAAGGTTGTAAATCTCTACAGGAGCAGAAAGCCTCCTCTTTCTCGTATAGAGCACAAGTCGCTTTGAACTACTGACCTTGTGGTTCGCAGCCCAACATATAACCCACTATGCCACCAGGGCTCCTGAAATTTCTAACTATAAGGATGAATAAAACAGAAAGGATAAAGCTTCAGATGTGTCTCTAACATTGCAGAGAGCCAGAGCAACCTAGCCAGTTACCATACTCGCTAAATGGAACAAAGCACAATATTAGCAACTTCTTCACTGAGGCCAGGTATACCTTATATCTGAATTGTACAGAAATCTCTCACATAACCTTTTGAGAGGGACTACAGAGATGCAATGGCCATTAGATACCTTAATTTTAAAACAAAAGTTGGCTTTCACACATGGTAAGCCCATGTGTGTCAAACTAGAACTCTGTGAGGAATTTTATGGCTGTGTTGTTGTTTTTGTTTTGTTTGGGAAGTACATCATTCTCTTCAGGCCATTCTTCCAAGGCACCTCTGGGTGGATTCGAACCACTAACTACTCATTTAGAAGCCTAGTGTGTTAACTGTTTGCACCACTCAGGGCCTTTACTACATATACCCAAACAGATGTTTCACATAGTAACTTTCAATTAAATCTGCAAGTAGATTTGGAGTACACAATAAAAAATCCATTTCAACTCACGGTCGAGTTAATTCCGACTCATAGCAACCCTATAGGTCAGGGTAGAACTGCCCCTGTGGGTTTCCAAGACTGTGATCCTTTATGGGAGTAGAAAGCCTCGTCTTTCTCCTGTGGAGCGGCTGGTGGTTTTGAACTGTGGTTCGAAGCCTACCTTGTCACCACTTTAAGAGTATCTAAAGGAGTACATAGGTCTGCAAGTAGTACAGATGGTTTACACTCGACTCCTGATGTAAAAGATGGCAGTTCACATCCACTCAGTGGTACCCTGGAAGAAAGACCTGGCAATTCAATTCCATTAAGATCATAGCCAAGAAAACACTAGGGAGTTAACCATGGGTCATCATCACCTTGAGAAGAATGGGTTGGTTTTGTAGGGGCAAGGAGTAGAGGGGGGAGCTTTAAAGTAATAGATGAACAGCATACATTAGCATTATTTAACAATTACCTTTTAACTCCATATCTAGTCTACCTCTAACTCTAAATAAGTATAAAACTGTGTAGCTCATGATTTCAAGTTCTATTTTTTCCCATCTCTTCTGCAAGCCAGTGAAACAAGACGAAATAGCATGTTGCCTTCAATTCACTAGGAGTTGGTATACCCTGCTCTAAAAGAAAGATGTGAATCCCACCCTGAAATGGTGAAGGAAAAAAAGGGGGGTGGGGAGGGCTCACCAGTTAATACAGCAGAAGTGTTAGATCCAGCAGAGAGCTGTTTGATCTTATGCTGCGCTGAAAAAAAGTCAATGCGCTGAAAAGTATTTCTCTCTTCAACATCACCAAGCCCCAACTGTCCTTCATTATTCCCTCCAGTTGCATAGACATGGTCTCCTTCTGCTCACAGGAAAGAAAACAACAGTACTTAGGAGTCACCCTCCTTCTGGATAACAGATAGAAGTACCTCTATTCAGGTGAAGGAAGTTGCCAGCTGTCATTACCCACGTTTGGGGTGAATTCCTTCATTTCATTGCCGGAGATTAACCTTATGCAAAGAAGGCCACACAGTCGTTGAAGTCATCCTAGAGTGTAACTAGCAGTTGAAAGCACCAGGTGCTGTGGAATAGGTTGTGTGCGTGCGTGCTAAGGTAGAACTTCAGGAACTCAAGGAAGGGGAGGAGAATATGTTTCCAAGGTGTTTACAATCCCAATTGAACTGTCTTCAACCAGAGAGGGTTTGTTCCTTTAAACTTCCCAAATCAATGGAAGCTAAGAGGTGCAGACAGGTATAAATCAGTGAAATGAGGCAAAGGCCGCAAAGGATCATATTGGAAACATGAGACTCCTATGTGCTCTGCAGCTAAATAGAAGGCAATTTAGCGCAGCAATGAGGAAGGAAGATTTCCGAGCCAGGGAGGCCAGCCTGGGTGCACATTCCAGCTTGCTACTTACCAGCTGTGTGGCCTGCTGCAAGCTGTACTTACCCTTACCTTTCTGTGCCTCATTTTCCTCACCTGTTAAACTGGGAGAATAATAGTGTCTACTTCATACCGTTGATAGGAGGGGAGTCCACATTTCTAAAATACTTAGGACAGCCTTTGGCTCACTGTAAATACTATATATAAATGGGTGTAGTTACTTTCATTAGATACAAAGAACCTGGATGACATTTTTCGGAGGCTCCAAATTCACGATGCTTTACCAAACAACAACAACAAAATGAGACTACTAATAAAACCCATCTACCTATTAAATGAGCTTTGTCTGCCATACAAAGCCTCAATGAACTGTAGGGGAAGCTAAGGGGAGCATCAGTCTGACACTGCTGCAATTTTCACTAAGAAAGACAGCTAAGGAAGGCAACAAGAAAAGCTTTCAAATGGAGGAAAAGGCAAAGTTGCAGGGAAATGGCCTGCAGAATTTAACACACGTGAACCCAACTGGAGTGGGCAATACATCGATGCACTTCAGAGGAGAACTAGAGTGAAAAGCTATTACAAAGAGCTCTCCCGAAGAACTCCCAAGGAAAGCAGAATGTGAAGAGTCTAAGAAGAAAAGAAGAGCTACGACAGCAGTGGAGAAAGTCTGAGGGAGGGCAGATAGATGCAGAAAAGTGAAGGAAGTACGAACAGCCTGCCCACAGTGGGCAGGGTCTGCATGTCCACCTGCTCCAACAGCATTCACTGCTGATGCAATGCTGTCCTTTGTCCACTGAATTGCTATGGCATCTCTGTCTACGATCTCTTGGGTTTCTGCTACGATCTATCTATGGCATCTCTGTCTACGATCTCTTGGGTTTCTGCTACGATCTATCTATGGCATCTCTGTCTACGATCTATTTTGGGTTTCTGCTCCACTACTGGGCCAAGTTTTCCTCTGGTACTGCAATCTTGGTTACTAGGGTTTCTGAAGCCTTAAATCTTTGCGGAAGCAGAGAGTCTCCTAGTTCTCCCGTGGAGTGGCTTGCAGGTTTGAACTGCTGACCTTGCAGTTAGCAGTCCAATGCTTACCCAACAGCACTGCTGGGCTCCTTTTAAGAGTACATTTTGCCATCAGGTAATGTGAGTTCCCTCAATTGGGTTGTTTTGAAAAATGGTTGTAGCTAGGCTAGGGCCTCTCTTTTTCCATCAACCTTTTAGAATCGCCTTGTCCATTTTTGCACACATGCAAAAGAGAAGCCTCTTTCTATTTTGATTGGGACTGGCTGACTCACACCAATAGCCTTTTCGATGGCCTCCTGCTCAGCCTGAGTAAGGAAGAGGGGCTGGCCAGCAACAACAGGGGCAGTCAGCCCTTGAGGTATGCAGACAAGGAAGGAGAGGCAGTGCTTTGACTTGATGTGAGAAAAAGAGCCTTGGCTTCAGTCATTGACTAGCTCATCTTTTCTAGGGCAAACACATGTACTAACCATTTACTTATTCCAAAAGAAAGCCTCGTTGTACTGTTGCCAACGTGTAATTTCAAGTCATTTTACAAACTGAGAGCCCAGGCCTTGCCATCAGGCAGGAAATCATCTAAATGGCATACTCTACCTGTTGAAACCAGGGTGTGGTTCCTTCCACAGGCTGCAAATTTCACCTTTTCAGGTTTTAAGGCTAAAAATACAAAAAAGTGACAATTAACATATTTCGTGGTAGTGAGGTCCTATGGTAACTAATGGGTAGAACTGACATTTTAGATTCCTGTTTCTCTGACTCCTAAAGTCTATTAACTACTAAGCCAAAGGTTTTCAGAATTATTTTTACATAATAATAACCAGCAGATCTTTGGGGGGAAAAATACAGACTGTTGAACCTCAACCATGTGGAATCTTTAATAGGTCCAAGACAGGGCCCAAACATCCATCCGTCCATCTTTTTAATTCCACAGGTAATTCATATATGCTGACATCTAATCTACTTTATTTTATTGACATCTAATATGCTTCCTTAGTTGTTTCCTCCCTAACCTGATCCATTATGACCTATCCTACCATTACCATTATCAAGCTTGATAATCAAGCTTACCCTATTCTATGAAGAGCTGTAAGTGCAATATTCATAGGCATACCAAAACCAACTCAAATCCACGGCCACTGAATAAGAAGCAGGCTCACAGTGTCCCTATAGAGCACAGTAGAACTGTCCTATAGCATTTCTAAGGCTGGAAATCTTTACAGAACAGACTGCTTCATCTTTCTCCTATGGAGTAACTGGTGGGCTCACATCTCTGATCTTTTGGTTTGAGGCCAAGCACTTTAACCACTGTGCCACCAGTCTTCAAGCTTCAAGTTTAGTTTATGTTCACGGTTATACCCAAACAGAGGTTTGGCAAATGAAAGCGAGAAAGCTTGGTAAAGGCTAGTAAAGGATTATGCATCTCACATTTTCTGGGATGGTCCCATTTCCAAAATTCTGTTCTGTTGTTTTTGTAAGAATACTAGTACTCATCAATGTTCACTTAATACGCTTGCTATGTATAGCTGAGTGATGTGTGCATTATATAACCAGCAATGACACAGATGTATGATGTCCACAACTTGGACAACTAAGAGAGAGTGATTCTAAGGGTCTATGCAAATTAGTTTGGATTTTCTTTGATCCAATTTGTCTGTATATACAATAATGGCTGTAGCCAAGTACCATCGAATCAATTCAGATTCTATTTGTTTGGATATGATTAGTATATAAGTTAATTTTGAATATGACATTCAGAATTGTTTGTGTGTGTTCAAACTCAAAACTCAAACTCACTGTCATCCAGTTGGTGCTGACTCATAGCTACCATACAGGTCCAGAGTAGAACCATCCCTGGGATTTTCCAAGAGTGAGTAGAAAGCCCTGTCTTTCTCCCAAGAGTTAGCTGGTGGTTTTGATCTGTGGACCTTATAGTCAGCAACCCAACTCATAACCTCTATGCCACCAGAGCTCCTTTTTGTGTCTTAAGGTCTATGAATCACATGGATTTTAAACTCAAGGACCACACACACAAAAATGGTTCTCTAACATTGTACTTGAACATCCTTTATTTGTTGTTTTTGAAACTACTTAAATATTACTTTCAGTGTGTAGAATACAAGCAACCAAAAAGCCCATTCAAGTACGTTAGAGAACCAATCCTTCTTGTGTGGTTCTTATGTTTAAAATCCATATGCCTCTGACACAGACTGTATAAAAGTAGTTTGGAATTTCATATCCTAATAATATTCAAATAAGTATCATAAAACAAAGAACTCCAGGTTCTATAATTTATGACACTAAAGAACTCCATGAAGAATATAAAAGTAGGGACAGGAGCTTGCTAAGTGTTTATAGAGATAAAGAAGACCCCAAACCTTTGACGCAGGTTGGTTTCAAGACGCTTGACTTGGTTCCTAGTCCTAATTGGCCCCAATTGTTACTGCCAAACATGTAAAGTTTATTAGTTCCTGATGGGAGGGAGAAAAAGAATTATGCATTTTTCACAAAGTAATAGGAGATGAAGTCATCACAATACAATATAAGCTATATGCCTTACTTATCAACTACTCCATTATCCAACATTTTGCACTTACAACAATATAAAAAAAAATCTGCTATTTGGCTACTTTTCACACATTAATAACATTATGTCTGGCAGTATATAATTCCAAGGTACTATGGGAGAGTAACACTAGCTGTGATGATGAAGGTTGGCTCGGCAGTTAGTCTCAGGAGTTTGGTATTTATTTAATAATATAATCTCAGTGTTTTAAATGATGCATTTTCCATTAAGCCTATTTTTTTCCTAATGACCTGGGCTTTGGAACCTAACCATGTACATGAGTGAGGAATGGGTGCACTTAGAATGATCAGTGTGTTTCCATGCTGAAACAGATTATGCTGTACATCTACATATGGCCAGATTCTGTTTGGTGTAAAGGAGTTTCCAGGGTTATACAATACTCACATTTGATTACATACACGTCAATAGATATATTTCAACAAAGCTGTGCATATACCAATGAACATAAATATGCCAACGAAACTTTGAACTAAAAGATTCTCTTGATTAATCAATTTGAGAAGAATTCGCTGGTAACATTAAAACAGCCAAATCTAGTTTCAACATTTAAATCAGCCACCTGGTGAACTAATTTGAAATAACAAGAATGGTTATACTACTTGGAAAAAAAATGTGATCAAATTTTCTGAATTGTACTTGTGGAAATTGTTAAGATGATTTGTTTTGTTATGTATACTTTTGTCACATAAAAACGATAAAAGACTAAAAAACACAGCACAGCACTTTTTAAATAGTTTTAGTTCTTTAAATATCACCACCCACACTACTTAAACTAACCTGTAATAACAGCAGTATGCTCATCTCCACATGTAATATACATGGGTGTATCATTTTTAAACCAGAACTTGCTAGGAGAATTCTCAGCAAATTTCGTTTTTCCAAAGGTGAAAACAGCACCAGAAACTGCAAATATATTTTACAACTTTAGTAAAAGTCTCTCTCTCTCTCTCACACACACACACACACACCCACCCACGAACAGGCTTCAAAACATTCATGAAAAAATGGAATTGAAAGATAATGCAATTTTTCTACACACTTTTTGAGGCTCCATCTGTGTGTGTGCGCGTGCACCCATGCACGAGAGCACTCTTCAAACAGAAAAAAATATTCAAACATTGCCTCTTTAAATTGCACTAGAGGTAGACTTGCTTGGGAAGAAAATGAGCTTTAAAAGACAGCTATGCATTCAGATCATGAATCTTCTCTGGACAAATCACTCAATTTCTTCTTCAATAGACTACAGATTTTATTAAGAGAGGGTCTGAGTAGAAACGAATTATCCAATAAGCAAGGTGAAATCCTTAAACTCACTGCCATCTAGTGGATCCCGGCTCATAGTGGCCCTACATGGAAGAGGAGAACGGCCCCTATGAGTTTCTGAGACTGTAACTTTGCAGGTGAGCAGTCCAACATGTAATCCATTATGCCACCAAGACTCTCAGAGCAAGGCAACACTAAAAACAAAAGCCTCACAGCTAGGGAGTCGATTTGGCCTCATAGGAAGCATGCAGGGTGGGGTCGAAGTGCTCCTATGGGTTTCCAAGATTCTCCCTGGGAACAGCTGATGGTTTGGAACTGCTGACCTTGCAGTTAGTGGCGCAACGAGTAACCATTATACCACCGGGTTCCTAGCAACCAGGCAGGGTAGGGTGGGGTAGATCTGACCTAATACTCTTTACACTCAAACTCATTGCCATCAAGTTAATGCCGACTCATAGCGGCCCGTAGGACCGGGTAGAACTGCCCTGTGGGTTTCCAAAACGGTAACTGTTTGCGGGAGTAAAAAGTCCCATCTTTTGAACCTCAGACCTTGAGGATATCAGCACAACGGGTAACCACTCCACCGCCAGGGCTCCTTGTAACTTCCTAATTTTTATTAAAAGATCATTTTACTGAGGGCTCTTATGACTTATAACAATCCATACATCAATTGTATCAAGCATACTTGTACATATGTTGCCATCATTCTTTTCTAGACATTTACTTTCTATTGAGCCCTTGGGATCAGCGCCTCTTTTTTTTTTTACCTCCCCCACCCTCGTGACCCCTTGATAAATTATTATTAGAAAGTCTTGTCTTTCTCCTGCGAAGCGGCTCATGGTTTCAAATAGCTGACTTTAAGGCCCCCTAACGCATCACAGGGTTATTTGTGCTTATTTACTAATCTGTAGTGGACAATGTCATATGGGGTTCTCCACCTAAGATGTGGTAAAATAAAAACACTGTAAAATTGTTCATTAAAGATTGTTAAATAAGCATGAGTAAGCCTGTACTTACACACCCTGAACCTAAAACACCGTCTGACCATGGAAACCCAACAGAGGTTAACTGAGAAGATGTACATTGTGTAACTGAGCTTAGCGTTGATGTGAGGAATAGGAATTCATTGATTGAACACCAATTGGCATTTTTAAAGGAATAAGTTATTTTAAAAAGAGCTAAGGGCATCACCCCAAATGGTTAGAATAAGCACTTGCTTCATGAAACGTCTCTCTCTGTTACACAGTATGCATGTGACACCTAGAAGTCGGGCAGGACTGGATGGCAGGGGAATGATATGCGGTCACGAGAGACCACATAACACTGTCACAATGTTACCCGTTGGGCTGCTAGCCCCAAGGCCAGCAGTTTGAACCCACCAACCGCTCTGTGTGAGAAAGAGGCTTTCTCCTTCCGTAAAAAAATTAGTGCCTAAGAAACTGCCTAGCAGAAGTTGGAATTGACAGGATGGTGGTGGAGGGGGGAAGTATTAAAAGTCATTTGCGCTAAAGAACCCCACGCCCCCCGCCCCACCCTTCTACCCTCTTTTGCCAACTACACCTCGCTTCTCAGCTTTTAACGCATCCAATACAGAACTGGGGCCTGGGGCCCTCAACACACACAACTCTGAAACGTACTCTGACGAGTTTGCAGGGCAGTTAAATAAAAAAGCCCCTGATTTCCATAAATTCATTGAAAACTTTTTCCCCCCCGCTAAGAAGAAAACCCGGATCGTCCTCCGACGCCCATAGCTCCGCTCCACTTCCCTCCAGTCCACACTTCGCGGCTGCGGCCTGAGCGCCCGCCCCCAGAAGGGCCCCGGGACTCCCGCAGGTCCCTCGCGGGGGCCGGTCCGGAGGCGGGGCCTGGCCGCGCACCTCCCGCGGACCCTCCTCCCGCGCCGCCGCTGCCGCGGGTACGACTCACCGGGCACCTGCTCCTCGGGCTCCACCATGTCTGGAACGGGTACTGGAAGCCGAAGCCTGGACCGCGAAAGGGACCGGGGCAACTCGATTGCACCTAGTTGAATAGTTGGTAGGCTCCGGGCGCTGAAGAATCGCTGTGGAACCCCATCGCGACACTTCAGGCATGCACAACCAACGCGTTCCGGAAGTCAACAAACAGCCTCTCTGGGCAACGGAGGCGGAGCCTTGGGCCACAAGGCGGGCCGAAGCGGGCCGAGGCCGCGGCAGCAGTGGCGGCGCCCAGCGCACAGGCAGTGGCTGCGCGCCCTCTGGCGTCTCGGAGGGTGGGGGGATCCTCTGGCCAAGGTTTCAGCTGGTCACCCAGACCTCATAGGGAATAGCTGCAAACGTCACAAACGCCACATATGCTTTGGCTTGAGCTGCATGAGACATGTCCACACAGCTATGATAATCTAGTAACAGTGACTATTAGACCCTTGTGCTAGGCACGCCAATAAACCCTAAATTCTTAATCACATTTGTTAAAAAAAATAAAAAATCAAGTTCACTGTCATCCAGGCAATTCTAACGCTAACATTATGTACGTGTAATAGTTGTGGGGCATGGTAAGTAGAATCAAAACTGAATTCAAGAAAGGGGCTAAGCAAACGTTTGATTTACGCATACCATAGATTTGCTTCAAAGAGCAAAGCGGGTACCCTTCACAGGGTGAGAAGGTCTCCAAACTAGCGAAACATTTCTTGGTTTGTAAAGGCACAAAGGGGTGGAGATTGCAGCTCCGCAGAGGGTCAAGCAGCTTTCTATTTGGTTCACTTCCTCTGCCCTTGCGTCTCCTACATATTTCTTTTTAGATCTAGTTCACGCTATGGCTCCATGTCGCAAGGTTTGAAATTGATCCCAGGCTACAGCTCTGGGTCGGGATGTGCATGAAGCCTGGCCTCAAGGTCAAGATGTTTACCAGGCTTAATCTCAAGGGCCATTGTTCCCTAAGCAGGGAAAAGTCCCTGTTCTGTCCATATCAGAATCCACGAATTTTGTGTTTATTAGAGAGATCCTTAAAGGCTCTTTTTCAGCGCATTTACATGAAAATGAGAAGTGGAGCATTGAATTGCTCACTACACAAATCATCATTTACTTACAAATAAAAGCAAAATTGCTAAAAAAAAAAAAAGTATTTAATAAGGAACATTGGCCTGATGTTGGTGGTTTAGAAAGGTTTACCTAAAGAAAGGATATTAAATCTAAAATCTGCAGAATGAGTAGCTGGAAGGAGTGACGGATCTGGACAGAGAGTATATGATATACAAAGGCTTATAGGAACTTGGTTCTTTTCAGGAACTCAGAGGTGAGGCAGGCTCATGGGGGGGAGGGGGAGGTGAGGCAGGCTCATGGGGAGGGGGGGCGCGGGCGTAGGAGGCAGTATCTTGGCTGGTTGTTAAGGAGCTAAAGTTTTATCCCTAAGGACAGTGGGAAAACATTGAAGGGTTTTAAGCAAGTAAGTAATGCGGATCAGTTATATGTAATCCTGCAATAGGTCCACTAGGCTCTTCTTTCGAGGATAAATTGTAGCTACAATGAAGATTTAGAAGCGATGGCAGGAATTCAGACAAGTTGTGATGCTGCCTTGGACTAAGATAGTGGCATTGAAGAGAAGCAGGGCCAATTCCAAGACATTTGAGAGAGTACCATCCATCCACAGGAACTGATGTCTGATCGTTGATTCACAGGCAACATCGCACTACCAAATAGCTCATTTCACAAGAGCAAACAAACAATCCCCCCCCCCAGAAAACCCCCCACAATTTATTGCCTAGGAGTGGATTCGTGATGATACAGTCAAACTCCTCATAGGGTTTCCTAGACTGTAATCATTGTGGGAGCTGATCACCAAGTCTTTCAAAACTGAATAGGAAGGGGGAAAATGGAGATTCAGGAGAGTGAGCTTAGAGTCAATAATGGAAGATAAGAAGAGATGGCATGTAGACCCTTGTGGAAGGACTGGCCTTGGCTACATCAAAGCACAAGCTCACTGCATTGAGCCAATTCTGACTCAAGGACCCAACAGGACAGAGAAGAACTGCCCCTTTAAAAGTTTCTGAGACTGTGAATCATCTTTCTCTCAAGTAGGAACTGATAGGTTCAAACTGCTGAATTTTCAGTTAGCAGCCCGATGGTTACTCCGCTATTCCACCAGGGCTCTACCTTGACTAGAAGGAAAAGCAATGCTTCTACCATAATAACGTGAAAGGAAAAAGGCCCTTCATTTTCTTATGGGTAAAGCTCACTGCCATCTAGCAGATTCTGAATCATTACAACCCTGTACCACAGGGAAAAATTATTCCTTTGGGTTTCTAAGATTTTAAATCTTTCTGGGAGCAAACAGCCTCACCTTTCCTTCAAGGAACAACTAGTAGATTCAAACCACCAACCTTATGGTTAGCAGCTGAGCCTATTACACCACCAGGGCTCCTCTCTTGAGCAAAGTGGAGCTAATTTTATTGCCTAATTCAGAAGATTGTTGCATGAGGTAATAGATGTGAAACTTTTATCTTGGTGCCTGGAATAGAGTACCATTTGCTAGTGTTCACTATGAATGCAGTAAAAGGCATGGAGTGCCATATTTGACCTCCTCTTCCCCATTGTCAAGAGGCGGGGGTCAGCCATGCCTCCACTCTCTATTCTCCTTTACCCACTCTGCCACAAACTGCTTCTCCCAAGGCATTCTACTTCAATACTGAGCTCAACAATTTGTTGCAATACACACAGAACTCAAAAGCAATACTCACATTTATGGGGGATTATTAGCGAATAGATTACTGAGGTGGAGTGAAATTCCATAATATGGCTCTTCTATCAAAGTCTGCAACTCCCACCAAGTGATTGGGTGGGACTATGCAAATAGGGCATGTGTATCACTCATAGAGGGGATTGGTTAGTTTTTGTGACCACCGTCATTGTTATAAGGATGAGTCCTCTTTGAAGTAGCAGCGGATAGAGAAGCCCCCAGAGGACCTTTTGGAAGAACACCTCCAAGATCTGTCTGAAATGGTGGAGGCCTCCAAGACCAGATGCATCAGAGACTGTGGCCCAGAGACTCAGAGGAGCAGGGCCCAGACTATTGGGTACCATCTCCTGATCTGGCCACCGGAGACGAGGAAGCTATGAAGCAGCTGGATAGGCAGACCAGCTTCCTAGCCCATCTAGGGAAAGGCAGCCTCGTGCCTAAGAGGCTGAGAAATAGAGAGATGCTTGCCTACCACATGGCAAAGAAGCTGAGAACTGGAGAGAGCTTTAGCTGCTGGCCGAGGAGACCGATGACTGTATTCTTACTGTTTGCCGATCCTGACTGCCTTCTCTAATAAACCAATGAATTATGGAACCCAGCATACACAGAGGGGTGTGGGAGGAGTAGTTGGTCTCAGAATAGCTGACAAAGGATGGAGCATGGAGGCATAGTTGATTCTTACCTCACGGCAATAGGGAAGCCAGAGACAGATATGCCCACGCCTGTGGTGGCATGGTAGTTGCCCTGCTAACTGCAAGGCCAGAAGTTCAAAATCACCAGCAATTCTGCTGGAGAAAGACGGGGCTTTCTACTCCCATATAGAGTAACAGTCTCGGGAATTCACAGGGGTAGTTCTATGCTGTTCTATAGGGACATCATGAGTCCAAATCAATTCGATGGCAGTGAGTGTGGTTTTGTTATTGCTGTTGACTGCAGTTGCCACAATTCAGGATCAGTAAACAGTAATCATATAGAGTCGCTGGTCCACAGCAACACCACTTCTCAGCCAGCTGTCAAGTCTCTCAGCTTCAAGTCACATGTTCACTTGGCCTCTGCCTTCGTGGACCAGGAAGCCCACCCGTTGCTCTGTTTCACAGTCACAGTCTTGGTGCACAGATCTGCTCTTCTTGTGGTCCTGGGATTTCTCTCTCTGCTCCTGCTTCACAGATGGCTCATCCTTATAAGGGGTGGGGAGGGTGGTGACGAAAACTGACTAATTCCCTCTATGAATGTGTGTTAGTCTGGGTAGACTAGAAAACCAAATCCAGAGATGCTCATACATGTATAAGAAAGATCTTTGTATCAAAGAGTAATTGTATATTAAGAAAATATCCCAGTCCAGTCCAAATCAAGTCCATAAGTTCAATACCAGTCTATAAATTCCTCTTCAGACTCACGCAACACATGCAATTACACCGAATGCAAGATGATCACAAGCCAGTAGGTGGAAGGTCTTGTGGATCCAGAGGCGATGGAAGCATCTCAGCACTAGCATGGGTCTCCAGGTGGCTCCTCCAGCTCCAGGGCTCTGGCTCCATCAGCCCAGCTCCATGTGTCTTGTCATCAGGAAGACTAAGCAAAGTGTGTGTGTCCCATCTCCAGGGAAGATGATAGGAGTTCCCAGAATCCTCCGGAGAATTCCATGCCCACACAGAGGCCTCATTGGCTATGATCTGATTGACAGGCTAGACTCCACCCCTTCCCTCAAATTGACAGGAGATTATGTAGCTGCCACAGAGTGTTACACGTGCCTGATTTGCACCATTTCCCCAATCATTTGGTGGAAGTTACAGAGAAATGGATAGAAGAATCATGTTAAATGGTAGAAGAGTGACGTAAATTTTACTCCACCACAATTAATAATGAGGCTATGCTGCAATACAAAATATCCCCAGCCCATTGCGATCGAGCTGATTCCAACTCATGGCAACACCATGTGTAACAGAATAGAACTGAGCTCCGAAGTGCTTTTCTAGTTGTAACCTTTACAGAAGCAGATCACCAGGATTTTCTTCTGCCACACCGCTGGATGGGTTCAAAGTGCTCACTAGCTGAGGGAAAACAGTTTGAGCCACTGCAAATGCCTTTCAGGTCTCAGGGCTTCAACACAAAGATGACAGGTCCAGTGAGGGTCAGTGGGGGAATCTGCTTGGCTACCTTGGTTGCTTTAGCAGGGCAAGAGAGAGAAAGTAGGCCAGAGGTGACCCACCTTTCTCCTTCTGAAGGCTGATAATTCTGATTATAGAGAATATAACCAAAAAAGAATCTAATATTCAGAATATGTATAGAATGAAAATATATCAATAAGAAAAAGACAGAAAGGA